CCTTCTCTTGACCCTGTGTTCCAGATATAGGAATTATTTTCAGTGGTTCCCTGGTCATTTTTCTCTCTTACCTATATACTTTCTTACATACTTTCTACTTTGTCTAGACGGTTCCAATCCCTGGCCTTCTCCATTTTGTCCTTGGATTTCTAGCTTGGGAATCATTTTCTCCAGGAATCTTTCCTTTGAGGATGGGCTAAGTGCCTGGGCAAACTATTCACCATGCCCCATGTGATGCCCATGGTAGCCCCCTTCACATACTCTCTTCAGAGTCACCCTATCTAATGCCCAAGAGCTTGAGGTTCAAGAGTGTAACGAGTTCAGAGTCAGCGGTAACTGTGGTTCTATGGAGACTGATTTACTTGATGGCTCCCGGACACCCTCCAACACACACTTTCATTCAATTCTGTGTATTTTCACTGAAGGCTTCACAGAGAACTAGACTGACATCATCACTGCAGCCAATGGGCACAGAAATCTAAGATTTTATGAATACAAAACAACACGGTACCCTTTAGGCACATAGGCAGTGTTCCGACAAGCCCCAATCAAAAAGTATTTAATTGGGGTGGGGTACCTGGATAGCTCAGTTCAGCATCCAATACTTGATTTCAGCTCAGGTTATGATCTCAGGGTCAAGAGATCAAGCCCTGTGTCAGGCATAGAACCTACCTAAGACTTTTTCTCTCTTCCTCTCCCTCTCCATCTGCCCCTCCCCTTGGCACGTGCTCTCTCTCTCTCTCTCTCAAAAAAAGCATTTTATGGCGGGGAGAAGATAATATTCTGGCTTGTATAGAGTTACCTGCTTTGTCAGATACTAATTATGTTTGGACATTTTTCAAATTGTGGCTAACACAATTCTGGAAGGTTCTCTGGATGAGGGACAGGCATTTAAAGTCAGAACTTGGAAAGTTTTCCCCTTGGTGCTATGAGAAAGCATCTAGTTTACTAGAGTAGATCCCCAGAATTGACTTTGGCCCGGTCAGATTTGAGAGGTTTTTGAGTAGTGACCCATGAGTGAGAATATATGTTATTTTATACTGCAATATTCAATAACTAATTTTTTTAAACTGAATATTATGAACAGATGTGAAACAGTGGTTATCTTTTGATAGCTAGGGGAAATCACACATTCCCCTTTCTTTTTCTGTCCCTGGATCTCAGAATCACAAACCACAGACTTTGCAAATAGATCTAATTTTTACGTAATATTTTGTGGCTTTAAGTAATTTAAATCAAAGAAAGCTACTGATGTTGCATTTTATTATTATTTAATAAAAGTAATGGGGGCAGAGGAAACAATTACTAATTTATCACAAACTTATTTTTTCTTTTCAGATTATTCTCAGTTCACGTGTAACTCTTTTCTCAAATATGTCTTTACTTAGGGCCAGCCTTGCTCTTTATTTTTATACATTTTTAGGCAAGCAGACACTCCAGCTAAGTTGTAAAAATTTACGTTAATTCCATCCAAACTTACTCGCACATTTTCTCCTTTTAAAAAAAAATCTAGTGCAACCTTTTAAAATCTCTTTAATTCCAGACCATAATCATACAAGTGTTTTCCTATGGTTTATACATTCCTTCAGCAAATATTTTTTGGGGTATTCATTACATGACAGATATTTTCCTAGATAGTAGTTAAATAGAAGTGAACGGAACAAAATAAGACAAAAATCCCTGCCCTCACAGAGAACACATTCTAGTGGGGAGTCATCCAATACAAAGGATAAACAAAATTTTGTGCCATGTTGCGTAAGTTGAGGGAGTATTATTTAACAGTAAAGCAGGGAAATGATAGAAGTGCTGGGCGAACTTGTGGGACATACTCGATTTAGAGGTGAACCTTTTAAAAAGTTGTGAATGAGGATGTCTGAAATCTCCTTTTGGTTTGCATTTGAAGAGCAGATTTGTAAATAAATCAATACCATACACAAGGTGATAAAGCTGTTAAAAGCTATTTAAGACAATGGACTATTACTCAGCCATCAAAAACAATGAAATCTTGCCATTTGCAACAACATGGATGGACTAGAGAGTTTTATGCTAAGTAAAATAAGTCAGTCAGAGAAACACACATACCAGAGGATTTTATTCTATGTGGAATTTAAGAAACAAAACAGATGAACATAAGGGAAGGGAAGGAAAAATATGATGAAAATAGAGAGGGAGACAAACCATAAGAGACCCTGAACTCTAGAAACAAACTGGGGGCTGCTGGAGGGGAGGGGGGTGGGGAGATGGGGTAACTGTGTGACGGGCATGAAGGAGGGCACGTGATGGAATGAGCACTGGGTGTTATGTGCAATTGATGAATGACTAAATTCTACCCTAAAATGAATAATACACTATGTGTTAACTAACTTGAATTTCGATAAGTAAAAAAGCTATTTAAGAACAACTCTGCTTTTATTATTCTTGGAGCTACTTAGAAACTGGGTCCCATATTCATTTAAAAAACTCTGCTTTCAATATTCTAAAAGGTGTTATGTTGTCATTAATGAACTGCAACTCCTTTCTGCATTACACTTGAATGTGACTGCTCCTATGTAAAACAAACAAACAAGCAAAAAACAAAACAAAACAAAAAAAAAATAAACAAAGCAACTTGCATCCTTTTGGCACACCAGCCTGCTTTTTAGTCTTGATGAGTGACATTCTGTCATGTTACATCTCAGCTTGCCTTAACTGCAAAAGACATCACTGAGACATAAGCAAGGGAAGATAAAAATACATCAGAAAGCCTAAATATACATTTCACATTATTTAGAATTGAGCTAAGTCCACACAACAAAAACTCTACAACATGGGAGGGTGAAGAAAATGAAAACATTTCCAAAGGTATTTATTGAGAAATAGTAAAGATGTACATATTTTTACAAGCTTTTAATATTAATTTACATTTCTTTAAATTATGTCGGCCCCGATAATCTATACTTTACTAATACATAACAGAAACCCTTGACTTTGTGAGATTTCCAAAATGCTACCGTAGTTGGGAGTCAAAATGCAACTTTGGCTCATGATGCTTTAATTTGTTTTTGAAAGAAATACTAAATGCCATATTCACTGAGAACATAGGCTTGTCATAAACAAATCCACTTAAAAGAAAAAAAACTTCAAACTGGAGCATGCTGTTGACATTATCTTGAATCTTTACTCATGAGACTAAGGAAAAAACATTTTTAGTTATTCACTTTTGCACCAACTGCATGATTCTAATTTTTTTTTGTCTCTGAATTTGACTTACAAACTTTTTGTAGGGAAATAGTGACTTAATCTTGTAAGCTATAATATTGTAGCCAGGCCACCTGCTTCGATATTTCTCAAGTGTGACACGAGGTGGTTACCTTTCCTAGTGATGGACCACGTTCGTACACGTACTAGCCGAAAACTCAGTGACAGAATGTTTTTTGAACTGGTTAATAACAAGGCACAACAGTCTATGTCAAAAGCAAGTGGGAGTTGCCAAAGAGGTTGTTCCTTTTGCTTGTTGGCTTTTTTGTTGTTGTTGTTGTTGTTGTTGTTTTAGATCAGAAAGGAAGAGGACCTCTGTTCCTAGCACAGGAGGGGCAGTTCTAGTCTGAGCATGCTCCAAGTTGCATGACAGGCTGTGAGGTGAGCCATATTGGCCTGCGCCGTTGTTTTGGATGAGCTCTTCGTGAACAGCTTGGGCTTTATGCCAGCAGCCTCTTCTGAACACACAAGCAGGGGAGAAAATGTATGTGAGAAACAGCACTGGGTGATGTCACCGGTGACCCTTCCTTTGCCTGTGAAGAACTATTCCTTTCTGGCCCTGCAGGGTTAGCAGCATTAAAATCCTTGCTTGTTTGATATGAAAAATAATGAAGAGTCTAGATGCAATGCCACAATTCTATCATTTAAAGAAACTGGTTAGAAAGAGAATATTGTTTCATTCACAGTAACAAATATTTAAGGTTTTAGTGCACAAAACAGAATTGATAATCAGTGCAGCTCTTTGATTTTTTTTTAAACTGCCATTTTCAAGCTACATGCCAATAGAAGTGTGAGATGATGATGATGATCATTATTATTAAAATTATTGCAAGCTTAATTTGTCTGCAGCAGTGCTTGGGGCAGAGAGAGCGAAAAGTTACAAAATTTAAAGAATAAGTTTAAAGTTTGTGTGATGAAGTCGGAGTCTTAAAATCTGCAAACTTGGATCTCAAGCTCTTTCTGCCCGGTGTAAATATGGCCTTAGCATTCAGTAAAGAAATATAGGTTTACAACCTAGAAAATTAAACCTCACTTCCATAGTGAATGTTGGGATCAGTGTCCAACAGCACTGATCTCACGGGAGCCACCGAAGCCTCAGATGATGAGCTATCACAAACCAGCCTCTGGTTAGGGGGGCTGCCTATTAGCTGGACTCCTGCTTCCACATTAGGACAGTTTAAACACAGAGCTGCAGGTGCAGACACTATTAAAACACTCCTAGATCTTGAGGTCTTAAATTTCCACAAGGGAAATCATGTCATACAAAATGACAGGAGAACTTGTATCGTGTTCTTAACATGGGCTACACACCAAGAAAAAAAAAAAAAACACATGCACACACACCGATGACAGGTTCTCCTTGAGATGAATGCAAGCCTTGTGCAGGAACAGGGCGGGCAGAAATGAAGGTGCGTGGGTCTCTAAGGGAGAGAAACTGGACTGACGCATACAGATGGAGAACCAGATACTATTTCGCTGTTGTAATTTTAGTATTGCTGCCAAGATCTGGCTCGCTTGCCAATTTATTTTAGGATGATACATTCTAGGTGAAATTTTCATTGACTCACCCTTTCTTCAGAGGGCATTTGGGCATTCGCCTTCCAACACTGATGACATTTTGTTTTTGCAACGGCATTGGGAATGAATGCACTTAGCTTTTATTTTAAGCCATGTTCACTAAATGTGAATTTCAAGCCATGTTCATGGCGTAGCCTAAGAAAGTTTGGGTGCTATTTGTTTATGAATTTAATGAGACTATGTTCCTCTACACAACTTACACATATCAAAAAGTCAAACTCAAAATAGTGTAAGTAGTCTTTAATATGGCTCTTAGTTTTCTCCAGAAGAACTGTAAAAAGGGGTACTCGAGACTTCAACATACATTTCACTTTCTAAGTAAAGGTCCCACAGTCTTTCCCAAACCTTCTGCTTATGGCTGGATGCATAAGTAGTTGCCTCATATAATTATTGGAATTATTAAGAACCCAAATAAAATACAAGCTTTCCTTTATTATCATTGTTTTCTTATTGCAACAAATACTCAGTTTCTTGGTGATGCAGTATTAAGCTCTGATAGCTTGAATTTTAAATTTGGTCATCTTAAGAATGATCACAAAGGTTTTTTTTTTTGTTGTTGTTTTTGTTTTTCATTATCTACAGAGATTTTAACCAAAGTTACACCGTAACACACAAACGCTGTCTTGTCTTTAAGGCACAACACATCAGTATGAACATTCTGTTTGCCAAACTTAAAAAAGAGACATTATGAGACTCCCATTGCCCACCCCCTTCCCTCCCCAAAAAATGAAAGAAAAATTGCATCCACTTGCAAAGTCAGCTGCTAATAAAGTCACAGTAAATTATTTTCATCAATAATTTACACAAATTACAGGTCTAGATAGGATTGTCCTTATACAGTCTGAGTGCATTCCAATTCAGATTTTCTGGGCTAGGTAGGCTAAAGTCAGATTCAAACCTCAGGGCTGAGAAGATCTCCCATTTTGAGGAATGTTGTTGAACACCACCTTGTCGGACGGAGCCTGTGTTGGCGTTCTGCCAGGGTCAGCATTCTTTGCTAAAGCTGTTAATTCCAGTGAGGACTCACTCGGTGTGTACCAGCAACCTCCACAGATTTTTTTTTTTTAAACCATTAAAGTGTTGTAAATATAAGACCATAGAGCTTCCTTTCTGTAGCGCTAAAGTTTAACTCCATTCAGCAATCTGAATTCTTCATTCTGGAATTTTCACTCCAAATATGATTTCATCCTTTAAGACAATTTATATGTGTAAAGCCAGAGGCATTGAATCACACATAAAAATTCAGTGTACTTTGAAATTAAAAAAAAAAAAAATGGATCTCCAGCTAGAGAACACAGTTACAAATACTCTAATTCCAGTGCTTGATGAAGAGCCAAGAGGTCTGAGTGACTTGATATCCTCCAAAAGGGCATGTTGTGCTGTGTATTGACAGAGAGAGGGACAGAGGAGAGAAGGGGAAGGAATGGAGAGAAATCATAACTATCGTCTCAATAAAGCAGCAATAAACACCAAGACGTGTGGTTCACCCATGTTCAAGGGAGGGAACTCAAAGGAGGCAGGATCGTATTTGAAGCCTTGGTAGCATCCATATTATATTGTCAAAATACTAGAGAAATAGATCTGAACTGGATTTTAGTGTTTATAAAAGCAAATACTGAGATTTCTTAGGTAGTTTAGTATTTATTCTGGAAAAGCATGACCAACATCAGCATCCAGGGAAGCAAGTTGAGCATGAAAAGCCTCCATGACTGATAGAAAGCAATTTTTAACCACAACACTCTTTAGAGTTAGAAATAATATTTTAAAAAAATGATAAACTTCCTATGTCCAAGGCTTTTTGTCTATATGAGAGGAAGAAGGTGAATTTCTTTATATGTACTAAATAATTTGAAGCTGGACTATAGAAGGTAGAAAACAATGTGGGGATGATCGACCTTCTTCCTTGTCTGGCGTAAGTAATAAGCCAGTAGCACTGACTTATTTCACTGGTATGGGACTGAGAGAAAGCACTCCAGCATCCATTCACAATAGGGGTGATGTATATTAAAGGGGACAGAAACGACCTCTTCTGGGTAAAATATTCTTAGACATTACAATGGTTTGAGCCTCTCCAAAGATATACCAGGATATAGTATTTGTGTGATAAGTTTCATGAAAAATTGTGATTCCAAAAAACTGTCTAAAAATACTCCATTATGGACAATAATGAAAAAAAGAAATAATGCATGGTAGCAATTAAAACCAAAGCATTATTTGTAATTTTTGCTGATGGTATCTTGTAGAATACATATGTGTAGAGTACATATACATATATTGTATTATACATATATATATAATGGAGATACATATATGTATGTATAACATGGAAAATGTATTATAAATGTTAAACATTAAAATAACAATCACTGTTGTTATGATTCTTTGCTGTCCAATATGGTAGCCAGTAGCCCCATATATCTTTTGAGTACTTGAACTGTGACAAGTCCTGTTCTAAATGCATACTGAATTTCAGAGACTTAGAATGTAAACATCACATTAGTAACTAGTGTATTTATTAGGTGTTGAGACAGTAATATTTTAACATGTTGGGTTAAAGTGTATTACTAAAATTAATTCTCCCTCTTATTTATTTTAATGCAACTTCCAGAAAACTTGCAATTACAATAATGGCTCACATTATATATTTCTATATGGGGCTGCAGTTATAGATTAGTTCTTAACCTTTGAAATCTCTTCTTAAATTTGCAAAAGAAAACATGTTTCTAGGTCCATTTAAAGCACAGAAATTCACCTAGAAGTAACCTTTTTTTTCTCATTCAGCTCAGATCTATTTATAATAACAAAATAGTACTTTGTATTTCTGCGCATGCGATTATAGCCACATCCAAAGGAAAGCATGCATTCTGGATACTAGAGGAACCAGCCACCTGTGTTTCCAAACAGAACCCATAAGCTTTCACCATCACCAAAACTGTACCTACATAAACAACCATTTGGAAATAGCATTCTAACAAGGTTCTCTTCCACTTGGAGTCACGACTTTTTCTCCTGAAGTTTCAGGTATAAAGCAGAGGGTGTAACAACTGAAGAGCCAAGTCCTGTTTTCACACCGTGGATAAGTGGTGTAGACTTTATAGATTTTCAGTTTCAGGCATATAATGTTTCTGGTTTGGAAAAGTGAATTTATATTGCCCTGACCTAGGTATGTGTGAATTTCACATAGTCTACAAGACATGCAAAATGTTTTGCTGCGTTTGTGCATTGACTACTTGTTGTGGGTCATGATGGTGCCAATATGAAAAACAGCAGGACTCTAGACATGGACAAACTTCAAAAGATACTTCGACTGTGTGCCACTGGAAGGCTTTTTAGAAGCAGTTGGCAATGAAAGTTGGGTTTCTTGAGACTCCATCTCTGGTCCAATACAGAATGTCCTAGGGGGTCAGTGTGCTGTCTTGTGTCAGTGATGCTGCCAACAATTACAACCAAGAGCTCTGTGGGAGTCAAAGCCTATGCCAGTTCTCTTAGTGTTAATGGAAAAGCATGGAATTTTTCAATTATGGCTTCCAGTACTTCACCAAACTTTCTAAAACAGAAGCTCGTTCTCTTTCTTCACTTTGCTTGATTTGAATGATCTACAAACCAAAGTCATTTCTTTCAGCTTTCTAGTATAGCTAAACTTTTCTTAAAATTTCTTTTATTTATTTATTTAGGAAAACAGAAATCAGGTAAACCCTTGAGCACTTTGTGAGTGGTTAGTGAAGGCTTCATTAGATGATTTGAGATCTCCTGAGGATAAGGACAACATTCTTTCTATGTACGACATTATAAGCTGATATGTCTCTGTTTAAAAATAGCAAGTATCGGGGCGCCTGGGTGGCTCAGTGGGTTAAGCCTCTGCCTTCGGCTCAGGTCATGATCTTGGGGTCCTGGGATCGAGCCCTGCATTGGGCTCTCTGCTCAGCATGGAGCCTGCTTCCTCCTCTCTCTCTGCCTGCCTCTCTGCCTACTTGTGATCTCTGTCAAATAAATAAATAAAATCTTTAAAAAAAATTAGCAAGCATTGTTTTGCTTTATTTTACAAATTATATGATTTTTTATCCTGGCTGGATGATATTTTGGGGCCATTTAGTAAAGGAAGCATTCGATCTCAGTGTTGTGTCAACCGATAGTTTGGTTCCTAGGACCAATCTCCGGTATCATTCCTCTTTTGATCTTGGGCCAACCATTTAACGGTTTTTAACTACATTAATTTCTTCTTCAGAAATATGGGCCAGATGAAAAGGCTTATTTAAATACCTAGGGCCTACGAGATTTTCTGAGTATGTTCAATGCCAGCTGCTTGGCTTCAATCGAATGCTAGCAGCTTGCTGAAACAGACAACACCCTTCTAGAAGACATAAGGCGTACTGCCTCTAAGTCTCTATGACAAGTTGGCACCAAAGGACCTGGATAATATATGTCATTCTGATAGCATTTACTAAATTCTCTAGCAACAGTGTTTTCCTTCAACTACTAAATCTTTCCTTATCATTTATCACTATGGAACACACTTACTACAAGGCACTCACAAGGACCATTGGCATAAAGGAGGGTGAGCAAGAGGTTAAGAACAGAGCCACTTACATGATTTCTATGGAGCTCCCTAAAGCTATCAGGTTAAGCTTCCTGTGTTTAAAAGTGGTTATTTTCCCCCACCTTTCTCAAAAATCACCATATCTGTGTGCATTACACGTACACACACACACACGCACACACAAATAAATCTGACTAAATTTTTGTACATTTCGTTTCAAATTTCAGGCAAAAAGTGCTAGACTCCAAATGGTTTCTTTGAATGTAAGTATTAACCTTCTCATGCTCTTACAGCTTTGCAGCTACACATTTAAGTCATTTGTCAAGCTGCCATTGGGCCAAACTACAGGAATGCAAACACAAAAGCTTGCATCAGAAGTATCACACCAACATTGTTTGAGACAGGTTACCTTTTTTGCTGCCTGTTCTTCTTCTACACCATCCCCAATTACAACATATACTACTTTTCTGCCAAACCTTTGCATTATTCGTTCAAAGCAACTTTCTTTTCCTGGAAGATAAACGAGATAAAGTTCAGAGTGAAGTTACCTGGTTAGCGGCATGCTCCTCATCTCGGCCATCTCCAATCACAACATAAGTTATGTTAGTGCCAAATCTGGACACTATACGCTCAAAACAGCTTTCCTTGCCTGAAAAACAATGCACTGCTTATTCTTCCAGCCATTGCATTCATTAACCTAAAGATTCATAAAGTGTTAAGTTAATTTTTCTTGAACATCAATCACTTAGACTAGCTTGCAACCTCTGGCTTTATGAAATCAACAAATACGTTTGAAAAATATAAGTCTTTACTTGAGACAGAGTATTAAGCAAATGTGCTTCACACTCCAAAAAAGTCAGTAGGGTTAAACATTGACCCGGAGAAAATGTTAGCATCTTTTACACCACCAAAAGAATGCTGGAACAACTTTACAAGCAGCCATGAGTTTTAACACTTTTTTGTTTAATTCTGTGTATCCATTTTATCTAGTTTAAGTAGTATAGACAAGTCAGCTAGGAATATTATTGTAAAAAACTGAAGGTTCGTCTGTAAGGAAAGAGGAAATACTAAGATGTGCATTTACCTTGATAAACAACTCCTTCCTTTAAGTGGCTGGGAGCTAGTCTGCTCAGATTAATTGTACTAAGGGAGTTGTTTGGGTCACAGAACTGCTGGCACCTGTCTCCTCTGACTGCACTATGGGAATAACATGGTGGAATTTCTACATGTTCTTCATTTTACAACACTGGCATAATTCTCTGAATTTCACTCCCACAATGTTCATGGCTATTTTTGCATTTTTTTTTCCCAATCTGATAGTTCAGAACTCCAAAAAAATACTAGCTTAAAGGGAAAAATAAAAATGATTGTTTTTTTCAGATTAAATATAAGGAACAATTTGGCCAGTAAAAAAAAAGAATCTTGTCCCAGCTAGAAGAAACATTTATGCTGGTGTGAAATGATTTGACGTGTTAAAATGCAAAATAAAGTGAGCTAGGTTAAGCCTGCTAGCATGAATACATACATTTCTGTAACGAATGAGTGGGCCTGGCATCAGGGCTCTGAGCTGCAGTGCATATGACAATGTGGAATTTACATTACGAAAGCTTATAAAGGCTCTTTTTAACTCTACTCCTCAAACAGCTGCAACTGGGGGCTCTTTTTAGCTGGTGCCAATACAGAAACTCTGTGAGACCCAGCGAAGGTTATTTTTGGTAGGGGATTTTGGGATTCTGAGCTCTTGTCAAGGTGCCAGCACCTAAGTTTGCTGACCTGCGGGGTACATTATACAACCTACTTCCCCAGGCATTTCCTTGACAAGACAGTGCCATACGGAGGCTGCTTTCTTTTAACTCTTTCAGGACGGAGGAGGTTAGGAAGCTCAGTTTTGAAAGAAGATTAGAAACATAGTCTCTTTAAATCAAAGATGGCTCCGAAGACGGATAGTAAGCAAATAAACAAGGCTGTAGTTCTCGGATTACTGTGGAACATTGTTGAAAATGTGAATTTCCAGCCATTCGTGAGTTATAATTTGTGAGATATTTTTTTTCCTGGAATTAAGGATGTTATTTCCATCCATCTGGCACTTCCCTGTAATGCCAGCATCGTATTTTTATCTGAGATCTAGATTACTGCATCTGCAAAGATGAAATACCATATACCATCCTAACTAAGATATTCAGTACCATGGCCAAAGACACTCTGTTATTTAGAAAACAGGGGCTGCAATGAAAGACAAATACGAAGACATAAATAAGTATACAGAACTATCCTGATATTGACTTCACAATTTCACTAGGGAACAGTTTTCATAAAATTTGCATGTGTACAATGGGTCACAGGCTGCTTTGTTATCTGAGCTCTGTTCAAATTTGCTTGATGTTTTTGTAGCAAAACCAATAAAAGAGGGAATCATGCAGAGAGACATACCGAGAACATCCTCCAAGACACAGATGTGAACACATTTCATGCAGAGTTAGAAAGAATTTTCTTACCTATTTTAGTTGCACTGTAAATATTCTCAATGGGGAAAGCACCTCCTAAACTATAGAGGAGAACCTTCGCAAGTGCTGGGATCAGTTGGGTTGTCGTGACCAAGACATTTACGCAATTACTCCTAAGACAGGGAGGAAATACACAGAGTTGTTTTCTAATTCTAAATAATTTCTAATGGTGCAGGTTGTAAATGGTCACTGTGGTCTTTTGATTCCATAATAAATGGGCCCTGATAACCTAACCTTTAAACGTCAACAGTTATTTACGGGCTGTCTGCTACCCGGCAGGCACCGTGACAGGGGCTAGGAATACATCCCAAAATGGAGGACGTGGAGGAAGACAGGCAAAAAGAAGTCACACATGGATGACATTTTGTCCCCGCTCTCCTCCAGATCACAAGAGAGAGAGGAGAGAGAGAGAAGGAAATAAGACACCTGCAATATGAAATGTGTTCTATAATAAAGATCTCCTCTGGCTTCTGTGGAACCTCAGATAAGCACACCTACCTCAGCCAGTGGCAATTATTGGAAGGTTATCAGAGGGAGAGTGTAGCTCTAAGCTTCATAGGTATCCAGACGAAGTGTTTTTTAGGGTAAGAGTCTATGTCCTGGGGTTAGAAGAAAAGTAGTAGACATAGGCAGAAAGAAGGTGATAGGATGGGTAAAAGGTGTTTTTGGATTTTGTGCAAGAAATAGTTCAGCATTCCAAATCAAGGGGCTGAGAGATGGGGATCCTGAATAAGTAAGAATGGAGAGGACCCTTATTTAATCCAGAAAAGGTGAATCCCTGAATCTCCTTCTTAACAACAACAAAGCAAACTGCATTTAATGGGCCCAGTTTTAATCCATCTACAAAGGCTCTACTCTCTGAGAGTGACAGTGTCCCAATTTGTAACTTACAGCTGTTTCTCTCATGGTAATATTTCAGGGAGATAAAGGAAACACTAAGAGAGTAGGAACTATGAGGCAGGGATCTGGAAAGAATGGATTGTGGTCCTTCCTTCTGGATTATGTAAAAATTGAGCCTTCCTGCCTTGAGGGGCTCAAACCGCACACATCAAATTGGGACTCAGAAGGCATATAGGGATGGGCCTTTCTCTATTGATATTTTGTAGCATGAGCCTTTAATACATATTAGTGAGAGCCCCCAAAATATTCTCGAGAAGTCTCTAGATTGATTTTCAGAAGCTTGGTTAGAATTTAGAAGATAGAAGACCAAGTTGGGTGCCAACTTTTCATGGTATGTATATGCTTATCCCCCAGCACACTTAATATTATGCTTTATATTCTTTAGACGTATCCTGTGTAAAGAAAAACTGCGATTTGTCCCAAGAACAATTATAAAACCTGTATAATTACAGGTTTTTAAAACATTTTCATTTCTAAATTATTTCCAAAGATAACCTGATTTTATAATGGGAGCTCTGACTTCTGGAAGCACGTGATGAGGTTCTCACTTATATGGGATGAAGAAACAAAGCCTTCCAGAGGTAGAAGTTTAATAAGTATCACCAATGGAAACCTTAATGCTGCTGATAAGGCATTAGAGACCTAGAAAGTGATTTGCCTGTTATCAGACAGAAACTCCCCAAATAATGGCAGATTATTTAGCATAATACATAAACACATAGCTGTACTGAAGTAATGTTTTGCAATCTAGCTTTGCCACTGAGACAGTGATATTTGGAGTTATATCGTTTCTTTCCTAAGTTACAAACCTCATATATACTTGTAAATTATAGACTTTAAAATTGCAAACATTGCATTTATCTAATATTCAATTTATAATGCATTGTAACTTTTAATTACAAACATTGCATATATTTATAGGTTGCATGTATATACATTTGTGAAATATGGGAAAACATCAAGAACACGAAAAGCATCAATTATTTAGCTATCCAGAGAGCAGAGGGTAACTGCTCTCACCATTTTGTGTGTTTACTTTCAGGATTTGTTTGCATATAGATTTTCTCATTAGTACCATACTATATATATAATTTCTTCTACATTTTTTGCTTGTTTGTATCATGAGCCTATTTATTTATGTCATACTCTCTATTAGTCCTCCTTTCCCAACAAAATATAATGTGTGAAAACCACTTGTGGCTACGGGATCATTTTTTTTTTTTAAAGTTAGCTCACTTAAGATGGTTTGGTTTCTGAACATTATATAAATAATGTCTTACATAGAAAAATTTCCTACACATTTGGTTATGACCTTTGACTATATTCACAGGAGAAGAATTAGAGCTGGAAGGTGCAAACTTAGCTAAAGGCTCAGAAACGTAATTCAGCCATGTTTTATATAAGTTTCCGTTCTCTTGACATCTTGGACATTTTATAAGGACCAGTAGGGTCCTACATGTGGATGACTTAGCAAATTTCACAGCACTTAAATTTCTAATGTGTAATGACTTATTTTTCCCCTTCTTCTCTTTGTTATATTTTTATTTCTTAAAAGTCACATACCCATGTCGTTGCCTTAAAGCCATGTGTATAATAATAATAATCTCTTTCTATTATGGGTAACACATATATGATCTACATAACACTGTAAGAAACTTTGGTATTTAAGCATCTAAGAGAACTCTTTTAGAAAGAGTGAAAGCTGACTTCCTCCTCAGAGAAATGCACATTCTACTATATTTTATGCACAATTTCAGACACTCAGGAGTCCTCCCATCCTAACTTCCTTGACCTTTATGTCTCCATATCCCTAGTTACAGATCACAAGCCAGCAAGTCCCATTTTAAAACAGCTTCAGTTGTGAGACAGTTCTTCCTCCCATAGAGTCAGAACTTTCCTTCCTAGGTTTCCCACTCATCCATCCTAATTTTCTCCTTTACAGATCAGAGGGAAATGTAATTTATTTTCAGCCTAACATCTCAAACAATTGAAATTGGTCATCTTGTCTCACATGGGACACTCCTTCAGATGAAACTCCTTGGTTCCTCCCTCCAACTGCCCCTTTCATGTGGTATCCTCAGCCTGAAACCCTTCTGGCCACTTTGCTGGACAAAAGATGTGTCAAATATGCCACAGCCCCCATTGGAATGTGGTGCCCAGAACAAGCCAAGTACTCTGGTCTGGCTTCCCCATCCTGACCCAGGAAACCTGCCACTTCCTACCCATCTCCATCCACCCACTCATAGTTTCTGACATCAGTATAGTTGCTGGTCATGTGGCAGCTGGACGTCACGTGCAGGATGGGACATATACATGCTAACTTCTGTATTCTATTCCTGGATTCTCCTTTTACCCCACCAAGATTTCTGTAGCCCAGTTCAAACAGTCCAAATATGACCTCTTCTTCTGAATTTGTGCTACCACAGCTTGGCTATGCATGCTTCATCCACCCTAACTAGCGATTGCTTTCCAGATTTATACTACTTCATGAACTAGCATTTATGGCACATGGCGTTCAACTAATTATGTCTATTCAGTTCTATTATCTATGCTACTAAGGCAGTATTTCACTATTTAGTTCAAATGGTGCAAAGATTACAAGTTTTTCAAAGAGCTTCCACTAGCAACTTTCTTGCATTTAAATTATGCATATTATCTATAGTGGGCCCAAACGCTTAAAACATGCAGTCTATGTGTAAACTACTGTTTTATTTTTTTTCATCATCTCCTGTACTTTGCCACCAACAGGGTGCTGTCTTTTTTGTTGTTTTTCTTTTTTTTTTTATTACTAGTCCCATGACCTTCCTGTGGAGATTATCAGTAGTTATGTAGAAAGGAGGGTAAAGACAAAGGATCTCCTCGTTATTCTGGGAAGCAGCAACTCCCATCTTCTGCCCCCAAACACATCCCCCCACCACACATTGAAAATCACTTGCTTCAGTGAATTGTTAGGTCCCCAGAAATTCCAAAATACTCTAGTAATTAATGAATCTGTATATGTGTTGTACTATTACAACCACATCTTCAATAAATACTGAAATAATACCACTTACCTAGTACTAATAATTGATAAAGATTTAAGTGCGTTTGTTAGCCAGGAGTCGGTGAGACCTTCGATCTCTGCCCTTAACTGTAACCATGCATCTCTCTTGGCAGGGCCAAGGAGTCCTGTAACCGAAAACCAAGGCAGAATCAAGAGATGAAAAATTTCAGGAATACCTAGTTTGGTCTCCCTTCTGTCTAGTAGAGATCATATCAGAAACAGGGAGAGACTGATTTGTATCGATAATGATCTTTCACTTAGGAACTGGTGATCCATTCATTCATTCAAACATTCACTGAACAACTTCTAGATTTCAGGTCCTGGGCCAAACAGTGGGGATGTAACAATGAAAGAATGGGTCCCAGCCTCTGTTCTCACCAAACCTAGAAAGTGGCACCATGGACACGATCACCTGAGGGACTTCGACCATGCCTGTGCCAGGGTCCCATCCCAAAAGATGGGATAGAATAGGTGTGGGGAGGAAGCCAGGGTCGACCTGCCGAGGGATACGAACCTCAAACACTGGCTGTCTGAAAATGTTTCACTTCTTAACAACCACAATCATTATCATTTTCCATGGATGTTATCATATGTAGCTACGAGCACCAAAGCTATCACTAATACTGTGTGTTTTAAAAAGAATTGTGTTTAAAATTCTGAAGCATGTGATACAAGTTATAAACAATTAAACATAATGTATTAAAACTGCACTGATGTTGGGCTAAGAAAACAAGAAGACATACTAATTGTTTTATTTAAAAAGTCCTTGCTTATGGGGCGTCTAGGTGGCTTAGTCGGTTGAGTATCCAACTCTTGAACCCAGCTCAGGTCCTTATCTCAGGGTTGTGAGATTGAGCCCCAAGTCAGGCTCCACACTTGACATGGAGCTTAGTGAATAATAAGTAAATAAATAAATAACCCTTGTTTTATGATAGAACAAGATCATGCAAATCTGCTAGAAAGAAGTTTCTTATTTAAGTCGTATTTTAGAAAATTAGGAGCACATATACAGATGGATGATTTATCATAATGTATTAATTTCTGGCAACTCTCATTTGTCCTTATTTCAAAAAAGGGATGCTAACAGAGCATAGAAAATGGACTTGCATGTCAGCACTTAAACTTTTAAAGCTATAACATTATTTATTAGTAATCTTAGTTTTTACATAACTTTAATACCCTTCATGGGGGAAACTATGCCTATCTAAATAAAAATTACTTCAGATTTCTCAAGGAGACATTTATTGTAAAATTAAACATGTTACCCACAATGGAATTTAAACAGAATATCTGATTGTCTGATTTTATGAATGTCTTATCTACAGCATTAGAGTGAATTTGGAAACTGGAGTTGTCTGTCCTACAGGAGCTTATTTCTACTTTGGAAATGAAGATTTCTAAGATCCCTTTTTGGTTCTAACAATCATAATAATAACATTGCTAATGCTTATGGTTCTATATTTTTTTCAATGATTTTATTTATCCATTTGAGAGAGAGAGAGAGAGAGAGCGCACACAAGAAGAGGGAGAAGAAGGTGACTTCCCACTGAGCAGTGAGCGCAACTCGGGGCTTGATCCCAGGACCCTGGGATCATGACCTGAGCGGAAGGCAGACACTTAACCGACTGAGCCACCCATGCACCCCTGTATGTTTTTTGTTCTTTTGAGCTACAGAGTATCTACTGAGCATCTATGATGTACCTTAAGTGTTATTAGACACTGGGAATACAAGATGAACAGACACACAGCCCCACCATATGCAATATATATACTATAGATGAAAACGTTACTTACTATACTATATTCTATGTATATTTATGTACATATGTATTGTATGCATAAGTATATTTAACTTATCATTCAATTTTAGATTCTGATTTTAAACTCCTCATTCCTCCTTTAAAAAGAGAGAGAGAGAGAAACAAACAGAAAATCCTGGGAGAAAAATGTTATGTGACTTCATAGCTAATTTTAGGATCTTGCTGACCTAAAACTGATCCTAATAATAGAAACAGCCAAGGTTTATTTTATCAAGAAATGTATCCAGGATTTTAGTTTTGATGTTACAGGTTATGATACCACCTGTAACAAATGGATGAAGGTAAAACAGCTTAGATAAAACCTACAGAGTATCTGAACATTTGAAAACCATGATAATCACAGTTAATACTCTACATGGCAAAGACATACTGCCAGATAACCTGCAATTTTTAAAAAAATAAAATAGACTTGTTTAAGTCATTGAAATAACATAAAGCACTGCTTATGTTTATTTTGGAAAGTATTCCAGAAAGGTAATGAGGACTAACCACTTCGCTTTAATGACTGGGACCTTTGCTTTCAGACAGGTTTCCCTGCTGCCTCAAGGAGTTCCCCTGTCGGGTTTACATGAATAGTGTCTGTACAAGAGGGGTACACTTTCCATGTCCTGCTGTGAATCTTGACCAAACATTTGGGTACAAAGAATTCCCAACTCCTTTGGCCAGAGCCGCCTGTTTTATTTTGTGGTTACATGTTTTCCCCCCACCAACGAAGACACATAAAATTTTGACTCAGTGTAGTTCAGCAGGGGCTCTTGCTAATATCTTTTCTAGTAGAGTAGTCTCTAACACGGAACATGGAACTACAGTTCAGTGTCTACCTCTCTCTGCAGTATCTTTATTAGATTTAACGAGCCACACATACCTCCAACATTGTTCTTGTAGGTGTTATATAGTTCTTTTACTCTTCTGTAACGAAAAGCCAACTTCCTCATCCAGTCAACCCCTCCTCTTACACCTGTTGGCAAACAAAGGTTTGCACTACTTGCAGCTGCATGGAAGCCATCAGTTGCAAAACTGTAGGTACTGCAACACCCAAAATACATTAAAAAGAAATAAAAGAAATAATTACAGGTGCAAAACTCCATAGCTGAATTTCTGTAGGAAAGAGCATACTGAAAGGCCTGGCTTACCTTAAGTCCTGCCCATTATCATCAGAGGAAACATCATCTATATGAACTTGATCACATTCCTGTTAAAAACATTGGAAAAGTTATTTGTTTTTCAAACGATGCCTGTGTGGTATTTGGTTTTTCCGTCTTTCCATTTGACTGGGACATGGCCAGAAGGTGGCAGCATTTGCCCATCTATCCCATTGCCAAGCTGGGGACAAGGCAGCATTTCTGTTTTAAATCCAGGAGAGTACCATAAAAAGGGGTCTGAAAACATATGGCATGTGGATTTCTTTAGAGCAGCTTAAAATTGTTTATTCTGAAAATTACGGATAATAAATGATTTTATGAATTTTTATAAGAATGGTGTTCACTTTCAGCCCTTTCTGTTGTATATACAGTATGGAAACAAAGCTAATCTGAAGACATACAGAACTGTGTGGCTGAACCTCAGGTGATTACTATTATTTGCTATTTGTTGAGCCCATTGGGATGGGCCCGATGATTACGGTGTCCTTTGAGATTTCTGGACTTCCTGCATTTTGCTGGGCCAAGGGTACCATGAAAAGACCATGCTGATGTTATTCTAAAAGTCCTGGTCTTTTAACACAGAAAAAAGCTAGATAGCCATGGGAGTTGGTATCTTTTATTCCTTTTGTTCAAGTTTTGGAATCCTGACGCTGGAAATGATACTTATGAATAAAAGGGAAATAATGAAGGTTTACTGTCTTCAATGTGCTACAAACTCAGAGGAGAATAAACTTTAGGTACATATACACATACACTTGCCCTGACAGAAGTCACAGTGTTCTCAAATGATCACTTATCTAGAAAGATAAAAAGTAAACTCTTCTTTGTTGTTCTAAGGATCCTGTTATATCTTCAAATAATCTGTAAAGTTCTAGTGAAATTGTATATGATCTGAAGGGGGAATTTGGTTAGGGCATTTAAAATACTTAGTACTTAATAACTTCAGGATAAGTATGTTTTAGCCTTTTGGACCTCGTTTTCTCCCCTCAAATTATTTCAGATACTCACAGATCCTGACTGTGTAACATAATGCTTACTCTTCAAAATCACTTTTTAAAAAATTATTAACTTTGACAAGAAGGTGCCTTACTAAACAAGGGCTCTTCAGCTACTGTTTATGTTCATTATAGGACCTGGAAAGTATCTGGTGGTGAAGTATTTTGTATCTCATCTCCAGCTTTCTGCATTGAGTATATTAGACCCTCTTATACTCTGAGGGTGAACGAGCTGAGTTGGGCTTCTTTCAAAATGTAAAATAAAAAAGTAGCCCAATCAATATAATTTTGAAACTTGAAAATCCAAGTAAATTAAAGGTTCATATGATTTACATAAATTACACATAAATTAGTGATTTTAACATAAATGTCAACCAATACTCATAGGTAAGGAAGGGCTCCAAAAAGTTAATTTGACTGAAAGCTCCCTGAGGGGGGTGTTTGGGTCACCTCCATATCGCCTCCGCACTCCCAGCCAAGGCACAATCTAGCACACGGTAATCTCTCATCAATTCTTTGTTGACTAAATGGCAGCTATCTAGACAAAGGACAGTTCTTGACAAAATTACCACAATCATTTAAATTTTCTAATAAAAGTTGCAATTATATTAAAAACAGTACTCTACATGGTAAGGACCGTAAGAAGCTATTTTCATCAAGAGTGGAGGGGAGTTGGGGGAGAATGGGGTATCGGCCAAGGCTACAGGAGTCTGGGCGGGGCATGCATTTGGAAAGGGTTTACCCCATTTTTGACTAAGCATGGGTGGAATGGAGTCCAGTCCAAACTTTAACCAAAGGAGGCACCAGGCTTCCAGAAAAATCTCAGGGAAAAGTACGGCAAGCAACAGTAGTGGCTATTGCATTGGGCTCTAAAGGAAAGGGTGGAGAGATTTAATCATTAGCGTGAAAACTGGAAATAAACTTCTCCCAGAATAGGGAGGCAGCAAAGCAGTTCTAGACAAAAAGACTTATATCTTATTTAGAAATGGTGACCTTCTCGGTAAGCATGAAGATGGAAGTAAATCACTATCAAAGTGGTATCATGTTAAGTTGTTCATTCCACTGAAGTTCTGAAATCTTTCATTATGTAAATAGTTTCCATCTCTCTCTTTTATTATAAACTACAATAAATAAAGACATATCCAAAAAAAGTGGGGGGGAAATCCCTACGAACAATTCTGGTAATTAGAAGTTATTTCTAGATTTCATACTTTCTCATTCTAATTTGTAGAGAAATTCCTCTGACATTTCGAGTATTAACTCACATGATTAATTTGTACGTTTTGCCCCTAAATTTATTTTTTATTCCTGAGGACATCAGTATATCAAACTTACTGGAGCATGAGCTCCATATTTGAAGTTATGTTTGAGATTTTTCCAAATGGAACTTCTCTTTTAATTTATGCCTAGTTAACTATGCTTGTTGACTCTGGACTCTTGCCTGAGGATTACAGTCCAGTGAAAGAAACCTGAACTTTAATCACTTACATTTTTAGAAGATTCAAAATAATTGTTTTTCAATTAGTTTTCACTCAGAGGAATTCTGCAAGTATTATTTCTGACCAAAACCTGAACTACTAAAAACAGTGCGATGCTTCGCTTCAACAAATTTCAGTATAAGGACTCAAATATTTGGACTAATTCTGTTACTAATCTTAAATTCTTTAATTTTGTCTTGCAAGGTGACCATAAAGTTGTCACTGATCTTTATCAGTTATAATCCACACAGCAGTCTTCTCTCACTTTTGTGAACCTGAACTCCCCAGTGCCTCCTTTTCTGGAAGTTATTCTAACTGAAACAACATTTTATTTCAACAGAGAGCATTCTCTTCTTCAGAGGAGTAGTGTCAGCATTTGCTTTCTCTGCAGTTGGGCAGGATCCGGGGAAGTGTCTATTAGGATTTAAATTTGTATCTTTTAAGGAATTATGTGAGAGCAGCTGTTACTACATATGTTACAGTATCTATTGAAGGATTGGAGTCTCAAATTAGATTTCTGGGTTAAGAAAAGGAACCCTGAGTGATTAAATACAGAAGAAAAAAATAATAATAGGCTAACGCTGGAGTTACTCTCTTGAGGAATTTGCCTCTTTGTTTGCAGAAGCAGAAAGAGCTCAATGCCAGTTCTGCAGCCCATGACAATCTGCTTACCAGAGGTTTACTGAAATAAAAAATGGGGAGAAAGTCAAGTTGACTTTCAAAATCTGATGTAGCAGGATTGTGGATATATACGTAATAGCACTGAATGACCCCGGAAGCTACTGTTTAGATTTTATTTTCATGCCTGTTTATCTCACTGAAGGCAATAACAAGACTTTGAGTTTCCTTGGGCACTTCATCCGGACTTAACATGCGCCTATGTCGTGCGCATGAGTGTGCCGCACAGAGGAGTGTTCAGTCAATTTATAAGCAGATACTCAATCATTTCATTGATAAGATACTGTTGGATACTAAGTTGTAGTGCTAGAGTCAAATGGAATTTTTAATCACATTTTAAAACATAACTAAAAAGCTATAATCAGAAGAGAAAGTCAATACCAATATTTTCTCAGTTACTATTTTTACCAGAGACCCTGTTGGGCATTTTAAAAATATATTTTATATAGTACATAATCTAAGATAAAAATTCTTAAAGCCTCATAACTGACCACGTGCTTCTGATATGCCAATATTCATGTCAAACTTGCTAAATGTATTTGCAAATTCACCATACCCTACTTTCGCTTCCTCACTTTACTATTCTGTAAAAAGTTGGGTGGTAAATTTATTCCATCTGGCTTCTAATGTGCCACTATAAAGATAAAAGGTCATTTATTCCATTTATTTCTAGTAAAAAATAATTAATGAAATGAAATAAAACCTCTAAAATCTAAATAAAACCACGTAATTTTTTTTTTGGTTTAAAAGGATGAGTGATCTTATTATTTTCTTTAGAAAAATGAGACTCATCCATTTTAACCAACAGAAAAACCAACCTAAAAGTTATTGCCATATATAAAAATTCAAGTTCCAAAAAAGATTAAAATGTGTTTTCTATTATAATGTATATACAAAGTCATTCTGTATGCTACACTACTAATAAGTAGCAGGATTAATTTAAATCAGGTTTTAGAGAGGTGATTATTTTTTCTTATTATCTGAAACTGGAAAACTTGCTGAGGAATACTGATCTTTCATATTGGCCATTAAAGAAAACAAATAAAACCTCTTTAAACAGACAGTAATTTTATTATCCAGTAAAAACAGTGACTCACTGCAGAGAAAACACCACCACCAAAAAAAAAAAAAAAAAAAAAAAAAAAAAAGACATTACCCAGATTTCCAGCACATACATTTATGGGATATACTAAAAAACAGAATTTTTATTCATGTCTCAAGTGCAGCTGAAACAGGTTTTAAGACCTTGTCAATTTTTAAAACTTATTTAAGACACTGAGTAATTTGGCTTTTCTTTCTCACACCCTTCTGTTAATTTCAGCGTGGTCTGGGGGCGAAGTATGAGCTCTGGAGCCAGAGAGACTCCAGGGTTTCAAATCCCAGTTTTGCCACTTAGCTACCAGGTAACCTTAGACACGATTTTTATGCTTGTGGACCCTATAGTTTCTCCTCTACAAAAATAATGTGATAAATAAATTTATTTCAAAGGTTATTATTCAATTAATGGGAAATCCAATATAAAATGTTCTGCACAAGGTGGGATTTCTGCAATAATAATCTCCCTCTCCATTTATAATATGATTACAGATAAACACTTTTATTTCATTGTGAAACCACTGGGTAAAAGATAAATGTAAACGTGTCACTTAAGAAGTATTTCACCACGGCGGCACTGGATTGAGAAGTACATCTGCTCAGTGCCTAGCTACTCAATTACTTCAAACTTTACCATCTGAATGCCTAATCACCCAGATCATTAGAAGCCGGATCATATATACCTTATTACAGTATTTATTCAGCGGTCTTGAGACTATTGGGGGAGGAGGAGTTCTCTCATTCTGTTACTGTTTTTAACTTTCCCTTTGAGGTTAGAAATGAAATGATAAATGAGAACAAAAGAAAATAAATGTAATGCAACCAGTCAGATGTGCTATGTAAATGGCTCTAACAAGGTTTTACCCAGATGCAGAGGAAATAAGGAATGATAATGTTGTTTAAAATGAGGCTTCAGATTATCTACAAACCCTAAGGACCCATGCCAGCACCATGAATAGTACCCAGTGATTTAACCTAAATAATACCCTGGTTAGTAACCTGGAAAAGCTAATGTTGATTCCAAAGGTGCCAAAGGGGTTATCCAGCATGGGACAGCAAAGCAGACTTTCTCCTCTTCTGAGATACTTTTCTTTCAAACAGGTACCTGTACATAGGCAGACTTTATTATCGCAAGTTAGCTTTTGTTTGTATTTGTATATAAACTTTTCCCCTTGACAGAAACTTTCCTATCCTCTTGAGCGAAATATTTTTCAGATTCTTGAGGCTATCTGTCTAGTTAGAAACCATCTAAGCATTGTAATAGTTGGGATACGACTATTCCTTTCTTTTTCAATTCTTACCTCTAAATCATTAAAAAATAAATGTGTATCAGCAAGATTAAAAATCATTTCTTCCATTCGGAGTCCCAGGGTTACAGCCATGGGGGGATCCTGAAATGAAAATACACATGGAATGAGGTAAAATTTCAGTAACCACTTATTATTAAGAATATTTTAAGTGCCTATTGTTGTGGGCAGTGGGGGTGGGTAGACTGTATGGATTTTTACCTAGGATCCAAAAGATTTCCCAATGATCTAAAAAGCTGCCTTTCGAAAAAGTAATCGAAACCATACTAAATATAGAGCTACATCTCTGAATTTATAGGAATTTATACACACAGCAAGACAACTTTGAACACATTTCCACATACATCTGTATGTTCGTGAGGAGGAAGAAGGAAGCAAGCTAGTTCACAGGACCCTGTTTATACATACCCCATGGAAAGTCCTTTGGAGAAATATATTTGGATGGGCTACTGAGGAATGGAGCAGACTTAAGAGACGGCGGAACACAGTAAAACCACCACTTAATTATTAATTGCATTTTGATCAACAGGCAGTATTTATTTGAATATGCATATAAGTTGGTCTAACCTGCATCTGACTAGAGAGGGTAGGGTTGAGGATAACTAAAGGAACATTAGTTCAGTGAAAGTAATCTGAGTAGAAAATATATACGTTTGAAGTTTAATGAATGTAAGGGAGTTAGTAAGGAGGCAAGTGATTGATTCTTGTCTACAGAAACCAAGATATTATCTAGCAGCAATGAGCTGAGAACCAAGACCAAAGCTGGTACTTTACCATGATTAACCAGAGCTGAAAACCTGAAAACAGAGGTGTAAGACTTTGACAAGTAGGGAGAGTTTAGGGATAGGGCTGGGGAAGTAATTCAGGCACAAATATTGTGGTTGAAATGATGGGAGATTGAAATGATCTTGAAAGAAGAATTGCAATAGGTATACCTCTGGAGATACAGAAACTGGAAAACCTGGAAGGGACAAAGCCTCATAATTTGAGACCAGAATGGGTATTAGCAGGGAGAAGAATATGGTTTTGAATAAAGCTGACAAGTCTAGAAGGATACTGTTGGTTTTGGCTGAGAAGTTATTTTGGAAGACTTTAGAGGGTGATTTGGGTTGAGTGGCTGGGCCAGGAGCCAGACTGTAGGGATCTGAGGAGAGAGAACCAAACTTGTGTTTTCAATGTTCTAATAAATGGCATTTCAAAAAAATGTATTTAAACTTGGAGAAATTAATGTTAACTTTACTTCAATTTATGATAAGGATATGCAACCCAACAGGCCAATCTATGTCAGTATATAACCCTGACCTCATTCCACTTAGCAGGAGAAGCCCTTCCTTTTCTCATTCCTACACAGCAACAACAGATTTTCTGCCTATACTCCCTTCCATAATGCTTTAAGGAGGAAACCCTAGAGTAAACATATTTGCAGTGAGTGTCAGTTTCATAGTCCATAGTGATTAAAACCTAGAGAATAGGAATTGAGTGCTAAGAAAGAAAGAGGTCACTGAGGTGTGCTGAGCCAAGTGAAGACTTGACGTGGGAGAAGATGAAGACAGGGCAGTAACAACACGCTGGATGTCGACACAATTTTCTAATTGTGTGCATCACTTCCTTAGAGATTTCTGTGGATTTCATAGTCAGAGACTCTCCAAAAACAGATGTCCACTCTTCACATACTTGATGGCATCCTGGTATCATGTCCTGCAGTCGCTCAGACATGTCTGCTAGATTCATTTGTCTTGCACTGACAGGATCACTTGGAGCAACACACCCAAAGACCCAGATAAAATTCCATTTTCTCCAACAAATATTCAAGAACCAAACAGAAACAGGGAGTGCCTCATTTGTGTCTCAGAGGGATCTTATGCTGTTACCTTTAAGTATGAAATTCTTTTTCCTTACTTCTTTTGTTGTTGTTCATGTTTTCGTTGCTGTTGAAAGAAAATCCCTAAAGGTTGAATAATTTTGTTTCAAACTCTACATTTGTCTTTTTCTGTCCAGGAATTCCTATTTCTAGTCTCTGTCTCTCTTTTTTGGGGTGGGGTGCAGAGGCTGAGGATGGAAAACTTGTAAATATTCTGTCTAGTCATGGGGCCATGAACAAAAAGTCTATAGAAATATCAGGAAAAATCAAATGTAATTATAGCATGAAAACATATAATTCCATTAGTGACGCTCTCTGCTTTTGAGGAATGTTCACTGATGCAAGACAATAAAACCGAGCTCTACACTACTCCGTTATGTTTCTGATGATTACTGCCTAAAGATATATATTTCAGATGGGGATTCAGAAACGTCCTATTTAAAAGGTTTTCCTTCTGGAGACTCGGTTGGTTGAATTCTTCCCCTATAATGTGCCAAATTTTCTTTTTTAAGTTTTAAATAAAATTACTGAATTTCTTATATTCATGTCTCACATTCTTTGCATTTATAGATCAGATTTACGAGGCTGGGAGAAAACATACTGTTCCTCTTTGATTGTTACTTTCATTGATTCCACGCTTCTGAAGTCCATAACTCTCTATGCTACCCATGATAGGCAAATCCATGAAGAATGCATTTTGTGTATCTGATAAGCATGCAAATACAATTAAAAAAAAAAACCAACATGAATTCTCTAACAAGTAAGCACAGCGTATGGTATGATGAAAACTGTATTCGAGTGCTCCACGGGAATGCAACCCCACGGGAATGCAACCCCACGGCACTAGAAGGGGTCGTCTGTTGGTTTTTCAGGCAATGGCGATTCCACATCACCCTCTCCTCAGAGCCAGGACTTAGTAAGCATTCTGGCAAAATATCATTTGTTAACTGGGAAAGTTTAGGTTTGAGGTTTATCAGAGTGTGAACTAGCTGTATTTTACTGAGGTTTCCAGAGAACAAGGCCTGTTGAAAGGGAGGGTTTGCATCAGCCATGCCAAAGCCTTGGCACAGATGGGCTAAGGATAGTCATGTCCAAGCCAAGGAAAACCATGTCTGTAAGAAGTGATGATCCTGTTTCTAAGAGAATGTTTAGTGAGGGCTTACTTTCAAATAATGAGTTCCCCCTTCTCCCCCAGCAGCTTACTAAGTCACTAGGACAGCTAAATCTAAGCGGGTTACGATACCACATTTTTCTAGCTGAAGAACCCTCAGATGTTAAGACTCCAAGAAAGTTGACCAGCAAGTTGGTGGAGGTGGCCCTTGTGAGGATCTGTAATGGTGGATACCCTCTGCTTGGCCAGACTCCTACGAAGGAGCTACCAGAGCCAGCAACCCCATGGTTTTATCAGGCGTCTGAGAGTTAAACATACTTCTGGATTGAACCCAAGTTTTATACAGAGATGTTTGCTCATTTTCATGAGATGTTTGTAGAATTATGGGCACCTTATGAATCAAGAGTAACTGCCCTTTTTAAGTTTAACTGTAGTGCGTGTTGAGTTTAGGGTCTGAAATGAAGTGACGGTGAAATCTTGGATGGGGGGTAGTGGGATAATAAGGGCACCAATGGGGTTTTGTGGAAGCTCTGATACATATTATACATATATAACAGTTTCAGTAGGTTCCAAGTGTCTACAGCAGAGTTTAACATGGCGCAAACTGAACTTCTGCCAATTTGCTCTGTGTACCGCTCTATTAAAATACTTCAACTATTCCCAAGACGTTTTTAAGGGAGGGAGGGGGAGACAGAGAGAGAAGGGAAAAGAGAGAGAGAGAGAGAGAGAGAGAGAGAGGGAGGGAGGATGAAGAAAATGAATAAGTCTTGGCCCTTAAATGTGTGATTCTAAGCCAGATGTTACCAGTTTTTAACCAAGTCAGGATCAAGTACGGCACTTCTCTATATCAGAATACTAACGCCTATTAGCCATGTTAGCACAGAACATAAATTGGAGCCAGACTGTCTGTCTATGGGCCTCTGGCCTGCACTGGGCCATCAGCTGGAATTCCTCCTCTAGAGACACAACGTAAAAATATCTCAGGAGAGGCAGCAGTTACAGATTTTAAAAGAAAGAAGGAACTTTTTTCCCCCCAAAAAAGAACTAAAGCTCTTGGAACAGTTACTCCTTTGGGACCGGAAGTACATTTGTTGACTTGTGGGCACAGAGGCAGAAGATGTGCAAATTTATTACCGAAGGAGGAAAACAACAGCATTATGAACTCAGGTAGGAAGAGCTAGCGGGTTTGTGAGAGTACATGAACTATTCTCATCAGTGATGGGGGGTGAAGAAAAACTCATTCAGGAATCAGAGGGGCAATTTTACAACTGACATGTTTCTTTGTGATGGACAGGCAAAGGGCTTCAGGCTTCTTGGGGGAACTGGAGAAGGTCTCAGGAACACCCATTCCATTAGCATGTAGTCAGTGAGCATCTATGATGTGTTAGACGTGTTCAAATTCTAGGCAGAGAGCAGAGAATCCAACAAGCAAAGTTCTTTCCCCTATGGGGTTAATATTATTACTAGATGAGATACCTGATACATAAGCAGACAAAATCCATGTAAATATATAGTATGTCAGGTAGAGAAAAAAATCAGAGTTGACAGATACAGAAGACCATGGGAACAGGTGGTGATGGCTCATTTAAACAAAGTTCAGGGAAGGCCTTTCTCAGGAGGTGACAGTTGAGCTAAGAACCTGAACAGGGTAAGGACCTAGCCATGCAGAGAAGAGGGGGCAGAGAGCACATGTAGAGGGAAGAGGGAGTCTGTGTGCGTGGACTGGTGTGAGGCACTGTGACCCCAGTCAGAGAAGGGGAGTGGAGCGAGTACTTAGAGAAAGATGGAGTGCACAGCTGATTCAGACACATGTGAGAGGCCCCAGCAAAATAAGGCAGGCATTTGGCAAGCAGGTCATTCCTCAGACTTGAAGGCACAGGCGGAGAATGAGAGATACAACTGGAAAACGGGCTCCAGAGGCTTTTCTGGTGATTGGACCATTACAACATGAAATATGGCATAAAGAAAATTCCAGGAGAGTGGGGAGCCAGGGATGTAGGCATGAAAAAGGTCATTTCCAGAGTCAGTTTATTGGGTAAGTACAAGGGCCTAGATCCAGAACATGGATGGAGGTGCAAAAGAGAAGGCAGAGAACATGGTTATGGTGTGAAG